CAAAATACATAATACTATCACTAATTGGCGTAACAAAATTGTTTAAAATTATAGAAAATCACAAATGTCGTAACTAATTTCTAAAATTTCGTAAGATTAACCAAAAAAAATGTAACTATTTATTAATTGGTGTAACAAAAACATCTAAAAGTTTTAAAAACCACAAATGTCATAACCAACTCATAACATCAACTACAAAATGCGTAACTGCACCACACTAATTGCCATAATAAAAAATAATCAAAATTTTTACAAATCACAAATGTCGTAACCAACCTAAAAAATTTCATAACATCAATCACAAAATGCGTAACAATACAACTAATTGATGTAGTAAAAATATCCAAATTTTTTATAAACCACAAATATTATAATCAAGTAACAAAGTTTCATAACAATTATCATAAAATGACTAAACAAATCACTAAAAATTTTAGAATCATCAATCGGGATCTCTCATAATACAGAGAAAACAAAATGTAATGACAATCATTAAATAATTTAATCAACGACTTAAAGCCATGGAACAGAAAATGAGAGTTACAGAAGATTAGCTAGCAGAGCGAGAGGAAAGGGAATATGAGAAAGAGAGACTTAACGGGCTTATCGCCTATGAAAATGACATCAAAGGTGTTGTCGTTTCGAATAAGGAACATCGGAGATAGCTACAATGACAGTAAAGAATGAGAGAGATGCTTAAGGGATGAAGATGACCGAGATAACAGCACAGTACAACAAAATGCGTAATATTTAATTTTCAATAGTTCTATAACACATGTACAAATTGATGATAACAAAACCTTTCAAATCATAACTATGACCAAAGGTTTGTGTATGTATGACATATTAATGTGAAAGAGCTAGAGTTTCGAGATAGATGTATTTACTAGATAGAGAAATATCACCAGAATGAATAGTGTTGAAATAGACAAAGAGAGTAATGACGAGTTCAATGATCTATTGTAGAGACACATGAGTAGAGAGAGGAAGAATGTAGTGAGGAAGAACTATTAACAATGGTCGTTCGATAATTTGAGCGAAATAGAGAAGTCTGAGTAAGAAATAGAGAGAGCTCAGACACAACTAGGGCAAATCAAGGGAAAGAAAATAATGTAGAGAAAAAATGAAGAAAAGTTGGGGAAGAAAATTTAGGAGAAAATTTACTTAGTAGAAAAAAATAAAATCACGTTATAGATAATTTTTTTCAACATATTTTTTATTAAAATTTAGTTAAATTATATATATACCTATGTATGTATGTATGTATGTATGTATGTATGTATGTATGTATGTATGTATGTATGTATGTATGTATGTATGTAAGTGTATATAGATATTTTAAAAAGTATATTGTTTGTATATTACTATTTCTATTATATTTAATGATGATACTATGACTAAAAATAAATCTAAAATAGAGATAGCTGATCGATTGCAATTGTCACTTAAGGATGACACTTCAAAATTAATTGAGAGAGTTCAGAGTTCAGAGATAATGAGAGTTTGAGAGACAGATTTGTTTGTGAGAAATAAAATAAGAGAGGGGTGGTATTTATAGGACTTGGGAGGGAGGGGTTAATATATATATATATATATATATGTATAAATAAAAACAATAAAATTGGTTGTTGGTGGAATTAACGGTTATATGACTGTTTCAAATTTTTTTTTTAAAATTTTTGACCGTTGCACTAACAGAGGGTAGGGAGCTGTTGGGGTTGGGTCGGGCCAGATGGGGGAAATTTTTTGGGTCGAGCTCATGAGATGGGTCACACTCCATAACACACCAGAGTCGGGACAGGCTCTAGAATACATAGCCCAGGGTCTTAGGTTGGGCTTAGGCTCAGGCCTGGTTGGGCCCACCAAGGGCGCGACTGGACTTAGGGTATGCTGCGAGCTCGTGGGCCAAATTTATACCCCTATATGTGAGTAGTGGTCATGAGATATGTGATTAGTGGTTATGATATATGTGATGTTGGTTATGAGATGTGGTTATGACATAAGTGGGTAAAGGTTATAAGATATATGATTAGTGATTATTAAATATGTGATTTTGGTTATGAGCAAAGTGGTGGAGTTATAAGTCAAAGGGTGTTTGGTTATGAGATATGTGATTAGTGGTTATGAAATATATAATGTTGGTTATGATTAAAGTGGTGTGGTTATGAGATATGTGATTAGTATTTATTGCTAATGTATATGTGGTATACATTCCTACATATATCAGGTATTGATTTCCTAGATATATTAGGTATTGCCATAGTTAGGTCTCTTATAGGATATTCTGTTATATAGTTAGATTTCTAGTATGATACTCTTTCTCAGCCTATATAGATAGGCCTTCTACCATTCAATACAATACATGCAATGCAATACATATTATTTTCTCTCTCTCTACTATTCTAATATGGTATCAGAGCTAGGTTAAGAACCTAGTATTTTTGCTTCACCGGCGGGCGGTAGCCTCGCCTTGGCCGCTAGCTAGACCTCAACCCATTCTGCTGTCATATTTTCTTATCAATATCGCTTCGCGGTGATCTCTTCTTTTGTCCGCTGGTTTATTGCTACCCCCAATATCTCTATTATATATATATATTTTTTGTTGTGCTTCTGCTCCACATTGTCTTTCCTTTTGTTTCAACCTCAAATAGGTTTCTAGCTTCAAACCTATTTGAGTTTGAGGAGGGGTATTATACCTATATCATGGTGAGCATGGTTATACACCATGCGAACCACCCAAGCCGCCCCTTTTGGTGCATAATCCAAGCTGCCCCCTCTGGCGCACAACCCAAGCCGCCCCTTTTGGCGCATCATCCAAGCTGCCCCTAGGCGCATTCAGTTATCTGTTGCCATCATTGTTCAGCACCACATCACAAGTTATGTGTGTGCCACGCTTACCAGTTCAATATCCAGTTTTCTAAGAGTTCAGAGATAATGAGAGTTTGAGAGACAGATTTGTTTGTGAGAAATAAAATAAGAGAGGGGTGGTGTTTATAGGACTTGGGAGGGAGGGGTTAATATATATATATATATATATATGTATAAATAAAAACAATAAAATTGGTTGTTGGTGGAATTAACGGTTATATGACTGTTTCAAATTTTTTTTTTAAAATTTTTGACCGTTGCACTAACAGGGGGTAAGGAGCTGTTGGGGTTGGGTCGGGCCAGATGGGGGAAATTTTTTGGGTCGAGCTCATGAGATGGGTCACACTCCATAACACACCAGAGTCGGGCCAGGCTCTAGAATACATAGCCCAGGGTCTTAGGTTGGGCTTAGGCTCAGGCCTGGTTGGGCCCACCAAGGGCGCGACTGGACTTAGGGTATGCTGCGAGCTCGTGGGCCAAATTTATACCCTTATATGTGAGTAGCGGTCATAAGATATGTGATTAGTGGTTATGATATACGTGATTAGTGGTTATGAGATGTGGTTATGACATAAGTGGGTAAAGGTTATAAGTTATATGATTAGTGATTATTAAATATGTGATTTTGGTTATGAGCAGAGTGGTAGAGTTATAAGTCAAAGGGTGTTTGGTTATGAGATATGTGATTAGTGGTTATGAAATATATAATGTTGGTTATGATTAAAGTGGTGTGGTTATGAGATATGTGATTAGTATTTATTGCTAATGTATATGTGGTATACATTCCTACATATATCAGGTATTGATTTCCTAGATATATTAGGTATTGCCATAGTTAGGTCTCTTATAGGATATTCTGTTATATAGTTAGATTTCTAGTATGATACTCTTTCTCAGCCTATATAGATAGGCCTTCTACCATTCAATACAATACATGCAATGCAATACATATTATTTTCTCTCTCTCTACTATTCTAATATGGTATCAGAGCTAGGTTAAGAACCTAGTATTTTTGCTTCACCGGCGGGCGGTAGCCTCGCCTTGGCCGCTAGCTAGACCTCAACCCATTCTGCTGTCATATTTTCTTATCAATATCGCTTCGCGGTGATCTCTTCTTTTGTCCGCTGGTTTATTGCTACCCCCAATATCTCTATTATATATATATATTTTTTGTTGTGCTTCTGCTCCACATTGTCTTTCCTTTTGTTTCAACCTCAAATAGGTTTCTAGCTTCAAACCTATTTGAGTTTGAGGAGGGGTATTATACCTATATCATGGTGAGCATGGTTATACACCATGCGAACCACCCAAGCCGCCATTTTTGGCGCACCAACCAAGCCACCCCTTTTGGTGCATAATCCAAGCTGCCGCCTCTGGCGCATAACCCAAGCCGCCCCTTTTGGCGCATCATCCAAGCTGCCCCTAGGCGCATTCAGTTATCTGTTGCCATCATTGTTCAGCACCACATCACAAGTTATGTGTGTGCCACGCTTACCAGTTCAATATCCAGTTTTCTACATCGGTCCAGTGTGACCCCTTTAAACTGTCCTGACATTGATTTCGGTTAGCTCCTACATCGGTCCGGCATAACCCCTTCAAACTGTCCCGACATTGATTCTAGTTAGCTCCTATATCGGTCCAGCATGACTCCTTTAAACTGTCTCGACATTGATTCCGGTTAGCTATTACAACGGTCCGACATGACCATAAACTGTCTCTCGGCATTAGTTCCAGCCAGTTTCTCCAACAGTCCGACATGACCTTAAATTGTTCTAGCATTTGTTTCAGCCAGTTCCTACAATGGTCCGACATGACCATAAACTGTCACTCTGCACTAGTTCTAGCTAGTTCTTATATCGGTCCGGCACGACCTTAAATTGTCTTGGCATTAGTTTCAGCCAATTCCCACAATGGTTTGACACGACCATAAATTGTCTCTCTGCTTTAGTTCCGGCCTCTGGTCTATTTCAATCTTTGATGTTTTTAAAAAATTTATGGTTGCTTTAAATCTTATTTCAGTTGTTTTAAGCCTCTAAACACAGTGCACTTCGGTTACCAACAATCTTCAATGTTGTGATGTTTTTTAATAAATTTATCACCCGATAAGTATAAAACAATGAAAAGGAATAAATCATAAAAAATATATAGAAGTAGGGAAACTAGCAAAAACATACCCATGTGTGTCACAACATAGAATCATCAAGTAACGCACATCACTGATTACCAGAAGAAGAATTTGAGTAATCTGATCTGAATTACAAACTCCAAAAAACTTCTGAATGAGAGAATTCCCAAACTGATGTACCATTAACTCACGAACATGATCTTTGAGCTCGAAGAGCAACATCTCAATCTCCTCTAGGTTAACCTCCACAATCTTCTTTTGCAAGTAAAGACAACCGCGCTTATCCTTAGCCAAAAATACTAAACCCCTCAGTTCCATCAAGGTTGGAGCTAGATTATGCAAATCATTGCCTCCGAATCCATTCGATCTTAGCCTAAACCCATTTCGATTCGAATTATTTGAAGCTCTATCATAGTAAGGTGTGTCAAAATCATACCCATTTTGGTTCGAGCGAGTAGGATTGTTTGTTGTTATTGGCCTTCCATTGTTGAATTGATTCAAACCCATTTGTCCCCTTACTATGGATTGAACTCTCATTCTCTGCAAATTCTCATCATACTTGGAATATGAATAATACGGATCAATTGGCGAGGAGTTGTTACGGGACGATGATGAGGATGGAGGAGGAAACGGAGAGGGCCGAGAAGGGTTTGAGAGATTGAGGTGACTAAATTCAGCATTAAGAATATTCCAAATGTTGCCATAAACAGTAGTACTTGGCAAAGTGATAGGCCAGTATTGGTAAGGATTGATTCTTGGATAGCGGTTTTCCGGAGAATGAAACCGATGGTTTTTAGACAAATATGACCTGTGAAGATGGTTTTTTGGCGAAAAGAGACTCACCGAAGACACATGTCGGTGGTTTTCAGGAATAGTTGGGTCCAAAAAAATGTTAAAATTATGATTTTGTGATCTAAACCACTCGAGACCATCTTCATCTTCAATATTTTCAATGTCTTCTCTCTTCTTCTCCATTGGATTGAGAGTAATCGAAACAGATTGAAGAGAGAGAAGAGAAAATATAATGGAGATATATGGGGTAGGAATAAACCAGCGGATAGAAGAAAAGATCACCACGTAGCGATACTGAAAGGAAAACATGGCAGCCGAATAGGTTGAGGTCCGACGGGCGGCCAAGGCAAGGCTTAAGAGTATCGCTTGGATTGTACGCCAAAGGAGGTGGCTAAGTGGTTTGCATGGTGTATAACCATGTTCACCATGATATAGGTATAATATGGTCCGACACGACCATAAATTCTCTCTCGGCTGTAGTTCCGATCTCTGATTTGTTTTAAGCGCCTTTGCGCCCCCGTTCAGATTTTGTAATCTTTTTGCCTTTTATTTTATATAGTTTTATTTCATGTTTTAGTTTCTCTCTCCAAACTCAAGATGTTTATCCTTCTTGAGTTTGAGGGGGGATGTTAACACATATATGGTATATATTCCTACATATATTAGGTATTGATTTCCTAGATATATCAGGTATTGCCATAGTTAAGTCTCTTATAGGATATTCTGTCACATAGTTAGATTTCTAGTAGGATATTCTTTCTCAGCCTATATATATAGGCCTTCTACCATTCAATACAATACATGCAATACAATACATATTATTTTCTCTCTCTCTCTCTCTAATATTCTAACATGGTATCAGAGCTAGGTTAAGAACCTAGTATTTTCGCTTCACCGATGGGTGGCAGGCTCGCCTTGGCCGCCCGCTGGACCTCAACCTATTCTGCTGTCATATTTTCCTGTCAATATCGCTTCGTGGTGATCTCTTCCTTTGCCCGCTGGTTTAATCCTACCCAAAATATCTCTATCATATTTTTTTTTTATATTTTTTTTGTGCCTCTGCTCTTCTCTGTCTTTCACTCTGTTTCAACCTCAAATAGGTTTCTAGTTTCAAACCTATTTGAGTTTGAGGAGGGGTATTATACCTATATCATGGTGGGCATGGTTATATACCATGCGAACCACCAAAGTCGCGCTCTCTGGCGCACAATGCAAGCTGTCTCATTTGCTGCATAATGCAAGCTGCCTCCTGGCGAACTCAGTTATATGTTGCCATCATCGTTCAACACCACATCATAAGTTATATATGTGCCATGCTTGCTGGTTCAACATCTAGTTCTCTACATCGGTCCGACATGACCCCTTTAAACTGTCCCGCCATTAATTCCGATTAGCTCCAACATCGGTCCGGCATGACCCCTTCAAATTGTCCTGACATTGATTCCGGTTAGCTCTTACATCGGTCTGGCATGACTCCTTTAAACGACATTGATTCCGGTTAGCTCCTACAACGGTTCGACATGACTATAAACTGTCTCTCGGTATTAGATCTAGCCCAGATTCTCCAACATTCCGACATAACCTTAAACAATCCTAGCATTAGTTTCGGCCAGTTCCTACAATGGTCCGACACGACCATAAACTGTCTGTCGGCATTAGTTCCAGCTAGTTTCTATATCGGTTCGGCACAACCTGAAATTGTCCTGGCATTAGTTTCAACTAGTTCCTACAATGGTCCGACACGATCATAAATTGTCTCTTGGCTTTAGTTCCGGTCTCTGATCTATTTCAAGCTTTGATGTTTTAACAAATTTATGGCTCTTTTAAATATTATTTCAATTGTTTTAAACCTCTAAACACAGTTCACTTCGGTTACTAACAATCTTTAAAGTTGTGATGTTTTTTAACAGATTTATCACCCAATAAGTACAAAACAGTGAAAAGGAATAAATCATAAAAATTATATAGAAGTAAGGAAACTAGCAAAAACATACCCATGTGTGTCATAACATATAGTCATGAAGTAACGCTCATAATTGATTACTGGAAAAACAATTTGAGTAATCTGATTTGAATTACAAACTCTAAAAAACTTCTGAATGAGAGAATTTCCAAACTGATGTACCATTAACTCGCAAACATGATCTTTGAGCTCGAAGAACAACATCTCAATATCCTCAGGGTTAGCCTCCTTAATCTTCTTTTGCAAGTAAAGACAACCGCGCTTATCCTTAGCCACCAAAAATACTAAACCCCTCAGTTCCATCAAGGTTGGAGCTAGATTCTGCAAATCATTGCCTCCGAATCCATTCAATCTTAGCCTAAACCCATTTCGATTCGAATTAGTTGAAGCTCCATCATAGTAAGGTGTGTTGAAATCATACCCATTTTGGTTTGAGCGAGGAGAATTGTTTGTTGTTGTTCGCCCTCTATTGTTGAATTGATTCAAACCCATTTGTCCCCTCACTGCGGACTGGACTCTTATTCTCTGCAAATTCTCATCATACTGGGAATATGAATAATACGGATCAATCGGTGAGGAGTTGTTACAGGACGATGATGATGATGGAGGAGGAAACGAAGAGGGCCGAGAATGGTTTGAGAGATTGAGGTGACTGAATTCAGCATTAAGAATATTCTAAATGTTGCCACAAACAGTGGTATTTGGCAAAGTGATAGGCCAGTATTGGTAAGGATTGATTACTGGATAGCGGTATTCCGGAGAAGGAAACTAGTGGTTTTCAGGCAAATATGACCTGTGAAGATGGTTTTTGGGAGAAAAGAGACTCGCCGGAGACACATGTCGGTGGTTTTCAGGAATAGTTGGGTCCAAAAAATTGTTAAAATTACGGTATTGTGATCTAAACCACTCAAGGCCATCTTCGTCTTCAATATTTTCAATGTCTTCGCTCTTCTTCTTCATTGGATTGAGAGTAATCGAAACAGATTGAAGAGAAAGAAGAGAAAATATGGTAGAGATATATGGGGTAGGAATAACCCAGCGAATAGAGGAAAAGATCACCACATAGCGATACTGAAAGGAAAACATGACAGCCGAAGAGGTTGAGGTCTGGCGGGCAGCCAAGGCAAGGCTTGAGAGTATGGCTTGGATTGTGCGCCAAAGGAGGCGGCTAAGTGGTTTGCATGGTGTACAACCATGTTCACCATGATATAGGTATAATATGGTCCGACACGACCATAAATTGCCTCTCGGCTTCAGTTTCGGCCTCTGATCTATTTCAAGCGCCCTTGTGCTTCCATTCGGATTTTGCAATCTATTTGCCTTTTATTTTATTCAGTTTTATTTCATATTTTAGTTTCTCTATCCAAACTCAAGATGTTTATCCTACTTGAGTTTGAGGAGTATGTTAATGTATATATGGTATATATTCATACATATATTAGGTATTGATTTCCAAGATATATTTGGTATTGTCACAGTTAGGTCTCTTATAAGATACTCTTTCTCATAGTTAGATTTCTAGTAGGATACTTTTTCTCAGTCAATATATACAGATCTTCTACCATTGAATACAATACATGCAATATAATACATATTATTTTCTCTCTCTCTCTCTCTAATATTCTAACATCGTATCGGAGCTAGGTTAAGAAACGAGTATTTTCGCTTCACCAGCGGGCGGTATCCTTACCTTGGCTGCCCGCTGGCTCTCAACCCACTCCGCTGTCATATTTTCCAGTCAATATCATTTCGTGGTGATCTCTTCCTTTGCCTGCTGGTTTATTCTTACCCCAAATATCTCTATCACATTTGTTTTATTTTTCTTTTGTGCTTCTGCTCCACTTTGTCATTTCCTCTGTTTCAACCTCAATTAGGTTTCAAGCTTCAAACCTATTTGAGTTTGAGGGGCGGTATTATACCTGTATCATGGTGTGCATGGTCACACAGCAAGCGAACCACCCAAGCCGTCCTTGTTGGCGCACCACCCAAGCCGCTCCCTCTGTCGCACAATCAAAGCTGCCCCCCTCTGGTGCACAACCCAAGCCGCCTCCTTTGGTGCACAATCAAAGCTACTCCCTGGCGCACTCAGTTATTTGTTGCCATCATCGTTCAGCACCACGTCATAAGTTATGTGTGTGCCATACTTACTGGTTCAACATCCAGTTCTCTACATTGGTCCAACATGACCCCTTTAAACTGTCCCAACATTCATTTCGGTTAGCTCCTACATCAGTCCGGTAAGACCCTTTCAAACTTTTCCGACATTGATTCCGGTTAGCTCTTACATCGGTCCGGCATGACCCCTTTAAACTGTCTCGACATTGATTCCGGTTAGCCCCTACAACGGTCCGACATGACCGTAAATTGTCTCTCGACATTAGTTCCAACCAGTTTCTCCAACAGTCTGATATGACCTTAAACTGTCTTGGCATTAGTTTCAGCCAGTTCCTATAATGGTCCGACACGACCATAAATTGTCTTTCAGCATTAGTTCAAGCCAGTTCCTATATCAGTCCGGCACGACCTTAAATTCTCCTGGCATTAGTTTTAGCCAGTTCCTACAATGGTCTAACACCACCATAAATTGTCTCTCCGGTTTAGTTCTAGCCTCTGATCTATTTCAAGCTTTGATGTTTTTAACAAATTTATGGTTGTTTTAAATCTTATTTCAATTGTTTTAAACATCTAAACACAGTGCACTTCGGTTACCAACAATCTTCAATGTTGTGATGTTTTTTAACAGATTTATCACCCGATAAGTATAAACTAGTGAAAAGGAATAAATCATAAAAAAATATATAGAAGTAAGGAAACTAGCAAAAAGATACCCATGTGTGTCACAACATATAGTCATGAAGTAACGCTCATCACTGTAGACGCGCTCCTGGGAACTCTCCGATGTCCGCGCTCGAGGGTGTGAAATCATTTTGTTCTGAGCTACTACAGTTCGGACTCAAATGTCACAGTTCTGAATCTAATCTCACAATGTGCGATGTGAGACCGATAAATCACCAAAGAGCCCAAATCTGGCAAATCGTTTTGGAAAACTGATTTTTATAAAGAAGTGCCAAACATGGACTGTTTTGCTAGATACAGAGTCGCCACCTAAATATTTTATTTTGGGGGAATTTAGGAAACCCTGACTCGTGCCTAAGGCCACGTGTCCGTCATCACCAAAGTTGTCTCGGCTCGGGAACTTAGGTACGATTGGGGAAGGTCA